GAGGGCTTTGCTCCTGAGCTGGCCTCTGCTTGCCCCTGGGTTCGCCTTACTCCCAGAGTTCTTGAGCGAAGACGTTTTACACGAAATAGGTTCAATGCTTAACAAAAGAGGGAGACTCGAGTTTGCGCCCATTGAGCAGAGGGCACTTTTGGGCCAGTGGCTTGGGTACTTAGCTAGGCGTTTACTGGACACTGAAACACAGGCCCCCAGCATCTCGCCCCGGTTGGAAGGACTCAATCAGGGACAGGTGTGTGTGTATGTGTGGCGGTGGGGGTGGGGGTGGTCCTGCCCTTGAATGTGGCAACGGGTCCCAGGTGGTGGAAATGGAGCGGGACAGGAAAACGTAGCAGGTGCAGGATGGGCGGCGCCGGCCTGGGCTTTGTCTTCAGTGTTTGCCAAAGGAGGGTGGGGGTGGGGTGCCCAGTCCAAGGCCCCAAAGTCCCTTGACGGAGCAGCTGCCTCCCACAGCTCTGTCCACGCTCTGACCAACTGCCTAGTCCCCAGAGAAGTGACTGGGGTAGAGGTTGTAGCTTAGACTCAGCTGTCCCAGTGAGCCCGTTGGGGCAGCCCCCGAAATGGCCCTGGGGTTGCTGCTCCATCTCGCCTTCCTGGGGCTCAGCATCGCTCAGCCCTTGGTCCAGGGGTACAGCCTCCATGCGCCCACAGCCAGTGGGTGGAGGGGCGAGGGCCAATCTTTGGGATTTGGGTTCCCAGGGTACCCCGGTGAGCATTACCACCTCCCAGCCTGGCCACCCCTCTTTGGCCCTGACTCGCCAGAGAAGACTCAGAAATCCTTCCAGATCCCGAGCAACGGGAGCGCGCCGCTGCTGGTGGTCGTGCAGGTGTTCGTGTCCAACGTGTTCAATGTGGTGAGCAACCCGGGGGTGGGAGAGCTCAGGCCCAAAGCTCAGCTGGGGTCGGTGCACGCCTCAGCCCCTCGAGTGCTGGGGTTTCCTGCCTCCTCTGGCACGCAGCGCCCACCCCCAAGGTGACCCACTATCACCCTCTCCCAGGACATCCTACGGTACACACTGTCCTCCATGCTGCTGCTACGGCTGGTGAGCACCCATCGGGGAGGGGGTGGGAGACTCTGGCTCTGAGTGCAGGTCCGGAGCACTGGCCTTCAGCACCCCGCTGGGCTGCACGGGCACACACCTGCCCAGGGCGGGAGCCTCAAGGCACCCTGTGTCCCCAGTCCTGGCTGGACGCTCGCCTGGCCTGGAACGTGAGTGCAGACCCGCAGCGCGCGGTCACGCTGCCCTGGGACTCACTCTGGACTCCAGGACTCATCATCCAGGAGTCGTAAGTGAGACACCGGTCCCAAGGCCCCGCCGTGCACGCCCCCCCCCCATCTACAGTCTTCGTGAACACCCCGTCCCAGGGCCCCCAGGCTGCCCTCCCCTCTCCCGAACCCGTTGACAGTGAGCCCTGTAGCGCTGGGTCTCCGGCTGTGGCCTCCCCCTGCAGACTCTGGGTGGACTGGCGGGATGACAGCCCCAGGGCACGAGTGGACCCAGACGGCAACGTGGAGCTCTACCTGGCCCTGACCACAGAGACCAACTGCGACTTCGAGCTCCTCCGATTCCCCTGGGATGAGAGCAACTGCACCCTCAGCTTCTACGCAATGAGCAACACTGGTGCCACCCTGGGGCTGGGCAGACGGCAGGGCAGGGGGCTCCCGGGTCTGTGTTCACACGACTCACCCCAAGCTTAGGGGGGCGGAGAGGATCCTAGAGCAGGACGTGCTTCTCACTCTCCACCTCCCATCACTTCTCGGCAGCCCCACCTCCTAGTTCTCTGCACTCAGCTGTAGCCCAGGAGCCCTTCTCCAGGGGCTCAGTCCCAGACTTAGGTTTTGCAGCAGCCCCACAGTCCTGTGACACGTCTTCTCGCCTCCCCTCAGCTACCCCAGCGCCAAGACCCTCCACGGCCAGGGCTGAGCTGCACTGGCTGGCGCTGTGTCAAGCCAGGGGCTCAGGCTGCCGCGCCCTCTTCTGAAGGTGCAGCCACCCCGTTAACTCCCACAGGCTGGTCAGACCACCTCCAGCTTGGCAGAGAAGTCCCACCCTTTTCTTGCACCCTCCCCTCGGTGAAGGACCACAGCTGCAACCCACAAATACTGATACTCCACACGCGAGATGACCTACGGGTGTGAGCCTGTGACTGCACACCTCAGTGAGGTGGTGCAAAGCGCGTTTATTTGTACAATGAAAAGTCATCTAGGAATCTGATAAGGCCCCTTCCCCTAAATGGAGACAAAACAAGGTTTGGGAAGCCCTTGTAGTTGCAGTTCATCTTCAAGTCGCCCCCCCTTCCCCAGCCTGCAGGACTTTGCATCAACCTGGGCTCCAGTCTGTCCCACCCCGACTCCCAGGAGACATCTGGGGCAAGGGTATTTCTTTCCTTGTTCACCCTTCTCATCCCCACCCCTCCAGTGACAGAGTTAGAGTTCCAGGCCCATGCAGTCAATGAGATCTTCAGTGTCAAGAGGGAATACGTAGTTCAGGATTTGAAAACCCAAGTCTCACCCCGGCAGCTGGTACCCAACTTCCAGGTGATGGTGAGTCGGGTGAGGCAGAGCCAGGGGCAGGACACCGCCTCCCGCTGCCCACTCCCTCCACGGCCCCCCAGAGAGCCCCCTCTGCATTACTTCCAGCTGAGACTGCAGAACACATCGCTGAAGACCACCATTGCTCTGCTGGTCCCTGGGGAGGCTCTGCTGTTGGCTGACCTGTGCGGGGGGCTGCTGCCCCTCCAGGCCGCCGAGCGCCTGGGCTACAAGGTGACCCTGTTGCTGGGCTACCTTGTCTTCCACTCATCCCTGGTGCAGGCACTGCCCAGCTCTTCCTCCTGCAACCCACTGCTCAGTAAGCTGGCGTCCCCGTGGGCCCACACACTGTTGTCCCCCCAGCCTCCTGGGCCCCAAAGGGCTGGCCCCAGACCGTGCCCCCTTGTCCCCCCAGTTTACTACTTCACCGTCCTGCTGCTGATGCTCTTCCTCAGCACCACAGAAACTGCGCTGCTGGCCGGCCTGCAGGCCCGGAGCAGCCAGGGGGCCAAGGTCAGCCCCAGCCCCACCATAAGAGGGGAGCCGCAAGATGACAGGAATCCAGGGCCTGGTCCTCCAGGTGGGCAGGGGCCTGGAGAGGGTGGCTGGTGCCTTTCCTGGGAGCAGGTTTCACGGGGCAGAGTCGGCAGGCTGCACTCCCAGGGGCTGGGGGTCGCCAGGCTGGGTTCAGAGGATCCCAGCAAGCACTCTGCTGGCTCTCCTGTCCTGGGCTCCAGCATGTCCTCCCCTTGAAGAGACAGGTCTGGTGCAGGGACAAGCTCGGCCGTCCTGAGGGCCCAGAGAGATATCAAGCTCCCTGAGATACCTCTTTACCTTGCATAGCCTCTCTGGGGTGGGGGGTGTTTCTTCGATACAAGATGGTCTAGAAGGGGCCAGACCATTCGGTCAGTCAATCTGAGAGCATACACAGGCTGGCCACCCTGGGGTCGGCGCTGCTGCTCCTCCGGGCCCTCGAGAGCACTGGCTACCAGGTGACCCTCTGCTGGGCTTACCTCACCCAGGGCAGCGTGCTGGGCGAGCCCTGAACCTTCCCCGTGCCTTCCCCCACAGGAGCCCCCGGAGGAGGAAAGCGGCCAGGGAGGGGCTGGGCTGAAGCTGCCGACCGCATCTTTTTCTGGGTGTATGTGGCCGGGGTGGTGTGTAGCCAAGTCATCTTCGCTGGCGTCTGGATGTGGGTGGTGTGCAAGTCAGACCCTGCCCCTGGCATGGATATGCCCCACGGTGGGCAGCCCAAGCCGTATTGGGGCAGCGAACACGGGCACCCAAGTGCCAGGCTGCAGACCTGAAGATGGGGATGGTTTCCTGGGCTGGGGGAGGGCCTGAGAGTGTCTCTGGAGAGAAGGGAGGGGCTGGCTGTCTTCCCTACCCCATGCCCCGAGGTCTCCTGTCAGCATGCCAGCAGTGGGAAATAAACCTACTTCCCAAGTGCCAGCGCACCCGAGGCTCTGTCTTTACTGAACTCAGCTCTTCACTCTTGTCCTAAGCAGGAGGGGCCCCGCCTCGCCCGACCCCCACTCCGCCCTGAACTTCCCACCCCTGTCTGCCAGTGGCCCAGCCCCCACCCAGGTGGCTTAATCGTTCCTTCTGCCACCACTGCTGCTTGGCCCTGGGCCAGGAGGCACTGATGGCTGCGGACGCGAGCTAGAAGCCTGAGACTCAGGCCAGGAGGCGCCTCCCCCCGTGTGCGCCAGGCCCCAGAGGGCATGGAGGGACAGCAGTGCTGCCCCCAGCCACCTTGGGTGCTCCTGGGGGGAGCATCCCAGCCCTCAGGACTGTACCAAATCCTGGGCGAGCGGGTCCGCCCTGCTTGCTCTTCTCCTGTCCCTCTGGCTGCGAAGTGGCCTGCTCCTCTGAGCCCCGCCCAGGTTTCCGGACAGAAGGGGGCGTCCAGCTCTGACTGGACGGGGGTGGGGCTGTTCCGCCCTCCACTCTTGGTACACAGGTGGCAGCTGTGGGCCCAAGGGCTCTGTCTTCCCTCTCTCTCCTTTCCTGTCTCAGAAGCCATCACGTGGCTCCGCAGGCTGCAGTCAGGGTCCCAAACCCCAAGGTGTCAAGGGTGCCCAGCATCTGGGGAGAGTGGTGGGAGCGTGGGCTGCAGGGAAGCAGCGGAAACCAGCACTTGAGGGCCGATGGGTGGGGCTCCCAGCTGGGGCAGTGAAGAAAGGTCCCTCTTCCAAAGGACTTCACACTCGCCCGGCCAAGACAGGTAACAGTGGTTTATCTGTCCAGTAACACGGTTAGCGGTGCACCAGGTGGGGACGGCAGCGGGCTCAGGCGGAGGTGTCAAAAAGGCGATCGATCATGTCGCCCACTTGCTCCACGCGGTACTTGATATACTTCTCGGGGTTCTTGGTGAAGGGCACGCTGCTGTACCTGAGCAGGCACTGAGGTCAGGGGAGGGGAGAGGCCCGCCCCCCAGCTCCCACCTTGGCCCGAGCACTCCGGATGGTCGGTCTCAGAAGTGGTGAGCCATGTCCCTGAGTGACATCCCTGTCCGGCCTCACGGTGGACACCCACCACCCCTCATCTGTCCTGAGGAAGAGCAGGGCTGGGAGGCCTAGCGGGGGCAGTGGGGACACAGGGCTGTGAGGAGGGTGGTGTGCTCACCTGTGCAGAAAGGCCCCGTAGGTCTCCTTGACGATGTTTTTCTGAGCCTGGCGAATCCTGTCCCTCTGCTCTGTGTCTGGAATCGCCCAGGCCTTCTGGATCTTGCACAGTTCCTCAAGGCCGTCGTTGAAGCCCTGCTCACAGAAAGGGGGGATGGAGGGGACCCAGAGACAAACGTTTTGGGTCTGTGTTGCCACAGCAGCAGAAGTGAGGAGTGGAGGGGACAGGACCCGACTCACCTTAAAACGCTCCTTGATCACCTGCCGCTCCTTGTCCCGGAGCTGCGGGCAGAGAGCTTTCCTCAGAGCCTGACGTCCTCCCCACCCCTGCGCATCCCCCAACTGCCCCTGTGCCGTGGCCCTCCTCTTTCGTCCCAGAAGGACGCCTGCCCATCTTCCCTGGAGACACGACAAAAGCATCCCAGCTGCTAAGCACCCCTTCCCAGCCCACCTTGACTCCGGGCTGAAAAACAGGGAGATTCTTCTCAGCGATGTAGTCAGTCACCTTCAACCAACTGCCAAAGCGAGAGAGGTGTGAGGACGCCAGCGGGAGCCCGAGGCAGCCCCTCGTCCCTGGGCACTTTGTTTGTTTTTACATCTCCTGAATTACTGGGGGGAGGGTTGGAATGAGTCTGGGTCATAATTAAGCAAAACACAACAGAGTTTTCTGTTTTGGAATGTCAAACATTTACGGTGCTAGCTCTTAGAACAGGAAACAGCATTCGACAGATTGAACGAATTCTGTGAACTTCACATATACGTCATGGCAGATCGAGATGGAGGAACAGCGGAAAACGGAGGGAGCAAAGGGCAGATCGACAGAAGACAGACGTGCTCAAAGGGAAAGAGAGACAAACCAGCCCGGGAGACGAGAGGAGGCCTGCAGATGCCAAGAGCACACGCAGAGAGAGACTCGGCAGATTCTGAGTAAATATATTGCTATAGTTAGGCGCCACTGAGTCAATTCCGGCTCACAGTGATCCCGTGTGAAAGGACAGAACTGCCCCATAGGGTTTCCCAGGCTGTAATCTTTGTGGGAACAGACCGCCCGGTCTTTTCTCCCGAGGAGTTGCTCATGGATTTGAACCGCCAACCTTTTGGGTAGCAGCTGAATGGTTAACCACTGTGCCACCAGGGCTCCATCAGCTAATGTATTAGTGAACTGCTTTTGCAACTTTGCTGTTCTCTTAGGCTAAATGTTATCCACACCTCTGACTGTCAGCTCTTCAATAAGCCTCAACACGTGACAGACTACCTCTGAACAGTCACAGTGCCCCCAAGGGAGCAGATGGGGAGGGAGACAGCTTCTCTCTGCACCCCATGAACTTGATGAAAAAACAATGGTGGTTTGGGGATCCCTAGGTCAGAAGTTCCCCCTGGGTAATCCTACTCCAAGCAGGCCCAGGGTCTTGAGGCTCTGAGCAGGAAGGGGGAGCAGTGGGTACGGGGCAGAGGAGGAAACAGCCCAGGGCCCTCTCACCTTCGCTGGTAGGTCTGGATCTGCTGCTCTATGTGCTCCCGATAGGACCGCTCTGCGGTCTTCTGGGTCACGGCCACCAGCTGGATGAGCTCAGACCTGGGGCAGGGGAGGGGAGGGAGCGGGCCGAGACAGAACCACGGCTGCCACTTGTGCAGCAGCGCCAGGAGGTTGGGGGTAGGGCCTCCCCACATCGCACCCCTGAGCTGCAGGAGCTTGCAGAGGGCAGCGCTCCCCCCATGGCCGCCTGTGCAAGGGCACAGCCAGCACCTGCATGGGCCAGGCCGGGAAAGCTGAGAGCAGAGACCAGCCCCGCAGGCCACTCACTTCTCCAGGGACTTGAGGATGTAGTTGTAATTGTTGTGCAGGAAGATGGCGCTCAGAGCTGGGTCCTCATATACCTTGGACTTGCTCAGCAAGTTCAACTGCAGGTTGCCCAGGACTTTACCTGCACAGGGGAGGATGTGGCCACACCCATATGCCAGCTGGACTAAAACGACCCAATCCTAGGACCCTCACTCCGACTCCCATCCGTCGCTCCTTGTCCCTGCCTCCCGACTCAACGGGCCTCAGAAGCCCCTAGCCCAACCTCCCTTGGTCCCTGAACTAGAGATTAGATTGCAACTCCAGTGGTTGGGTGGGGCTCAGGGTGGGGCTCAGCAGAGGGCCCCGGAGTAGCACCCAAAGGAAGGTGGGGAGGCAGGGAGCAGAGGCGTTGGCGCTCAGGGAGCACTCACAGATGTAGGTACTCAGCAGCCGCTTGCTGAACTCAGAGCTGTAGCTGGTGGCTGAAGAACTGGTCTCTGCGAGAAGAGAAGCCTTGTTATTGTGGCCGCAGAGTGGACACGACCCTCTCAGCCCTGCCCTCCACGCGGGAGAAACCCGAGGAGACCTTCGTCAGGCAGGTGGGGCACGGAAAACCCAGAGGCAGAGCTGGCACTTGCCGAGCCACAGGCCCCTCCTGCCCCCCGGCGCACTGCCCGCAGGCTGCTTCGGGAACCCAGGGCAAACCCTTGGCTGTGACGGGATGCGGAGCTTAAGGGTCTGGCCCTTGATCGTCAGGAAGGCTGGCAAGACAGGGGTACCAAGGCCCTCTGCCCACCCCCAGCCCTGGCCCACGCTGGGTGGTAGCCAGAAGGCCCACGCATCCCACTTGTCAACAGGGAAGTCTTAGGATGTGCTCCTCACTTCTCCCCACACTTCCCACAAGCCCCTCTACCAGGCCCTTCTGCACAGGGAACCTGCTGCCTGTGTAAAAGCAGAAGGCCAAGCGGGTGGGGACAGTGTGGGGGCGGGGAGGCAGAGGAAGGGGCTGGGTGAGCCAGAGGTGTACTCAGGGTGCAGGACACAGCAGGGTGCTGCCTGGATAGGCTCAGAGACAGAAAAAGGGCGCTGAGAGGGTCGAGAGCACCCTTTAAGAACCGAAATCCCTGTGACCCCCATTTCCCAGCAGGCCCTGTCCTGAGTCTGTCTAGGCGCCTCTCTCCCCAGGGAACCTCACCCGAGGGGCTTCAGAATGGGGAGGGGACGCAGAGCCCCACTGCTTACCTCGGGGGTCTAAAGGAATATTGTATGTGTCCCCAAGGACTACGGAGTGAGAGGCAGAGCGCACAGAGGGGACGGAGGGGGAGACAAGAAGGGAGAAAGATGTAAAGTGCAAAAACAGGTTAGAAACGGCCACGCTATCCCGCGTCGCGCAGACCTCACCCCGCGACAGCTGGCACACAGACAGGACACACCCAGGCCAAACCCACTGAGGACCATGGGACCCACTGGAATCGGAGAATTGGAGACCCACAGGCCAGAACTGCCCCCAGGCGCCTTGCCCCCCAGCATGGGGGGAGACAGTGCGGGCCTGGGGGGTCTCGGCAAGCTGAGCTGGCCCCCAGTGCTTGGAATGGCCCAGAGGTGCACTCCTGCTTCCATGCCAACCTCCCAAGCTGCCATCCCGGGGTGGCACTCAGCGAGAAGGCACCAAGCTGGCCCTGAGATGCCACCCACTGAAAAGCTCAGCTGAGTGAGACTCATCAGGAGAACAGGAGACTATGAGAGGAAGTGGAGAGATACGGCGGAGGACGGGGCGGGAAGGGTCAGGCCGCTCTCAGGAGCTGACGACGGGGACGGGGGTCACGGGAAGTGCAAGCAAACCTTCCTCTCCTGACCGCTGCTGGGATGGCCCCACGTCTCAGTCCCACCCCACAGGGCTGAAGAAAGGCTTCTCACTGTCCCTGCCCTCACCCAGAGGGCCAGTGCTACCTGGGGGCCTAACCCCATGTCTCCAGACAAGAGGGAGAGTGGGAGTGGGGCAGGGGACGGCCTGCTCTGCTGGGAGGTGCCCAGTACCTTGGGAGGCCAGCATGGCGCCTGCTGTCTCCTGGAAGTCCAGAAGCTGCTGCAGGAAAAGAATCGCCTGATGGGGAGAAACAGGTCCAGGATGGAGGTCAATGCCAGGACCTGAAGGTCTGAGCACCTCCCATGACGCACAACCCCATCATACCGGGGCAAGTCCAGGGCCAGGGCGCTGCCCAGGGAGCCCCATGTTTCACCCTCGGGGCTTTAGCCTGCCAGGAAAGGCCCTGTCTGCTGGAGATGCTAAGCACTTCCTGTCCATCCTGCCATCAGCCCAACCTCATGAAGGCATGGAGCGTGCCTGGGCCAGGTGGGGTCCCTCCATGGTGCCAGTGCCTGGCCACTGGCCTGGACCCCTCCCCTCCCAGCCCCCTCAGACAGCACCTACGTTGCTTGTGAGCTCATGCACGGTGCCATCCTTGGGCATGTTGTACTCCTTGTCCGGGTCGTTCTGCGGGTGAAAACCAAACCAAAACAGTTGCCGTTGAGTCGACTCTGACCCACGGCGACCTCACGTGTATTACAGTAGAACTGTGCTCCATAGCACGCTTTTTTGAATATTTTTGCTGTTGCTGACAATATAGACAGCAGAACATAGATCAATTCAACAATTTCTAACTGTACAATTCAGTGACATCGATTACGTTCTTTGAGTCGTGCAACCACTCCCACCCTCCTTTTCTGGGTTGTTGCTCCCCAACTTACATAAACTCACTGCCCCCACGGTTCCTGTCTAACCTTTCAAGGTGCTGTTGTCAGGTTGATCCCATATAGATACATTGCAAAAGAGCACATTGTTCAAGGGAGACATTTTTTAGTAGTTAAGCTAAACTATCACTTGGTTTTAAAAAAACTGTCAAGAGATATTTCTGGTTTAAGGTTTAAAGATTATCTCAGGGCAATAGTTTCAGGGGTTCATCCAGCCTCCGTGGCTCCAAAGTCGGGATTCCATGAGAATTTGAAATTCTGTGCTGCATTTTCTCCCTTTTGATCAGGATTCTGTAGGGTTTTCAATGGCTGGCTTTTGGGAAGTAGATTGCCAGGCCTTCCTTCCAAGGTGCTTCTGGGTGGACTCAAACCTCCAACCTTTTGGTTAGCAGCCAAGGGTATTAACTGTTTGCGCCACCCAGGGACTCCAAGGAAAAATAAAAAGCCCCTGATCCTCTGATTAGTCCCCAGGAAGGCCTCAGCCATACCCCACACCCCAAGTCTGGACTGCTCATGGCACCACCTCCTGGTGGACAGGTGTCAGGACGCCTTCAGGCTGAGCCTCTGGCCTCAGAGGGCTCTGGAGTCCTCTGGGAAGGAGGGCAGTGAGTGGGCACTGACAGGAAACCATCAGTGTAGCCGGCCTCCCAACAGGTGAACCCGGCCCTCGTGGAGCCCTGTCCTCTGAGGAGCTCCCCAGAGCCAGGTCATGGGTGGTCTGGCCCGCAGCACCCCAGGCTGGGCCTTGGGTGTAAAAGGGGGGGCAGCACCTTGATGTTGTCCGCAAAGTCCTCCAGGGCTTTGGCACCAGTGGTCTCCATGGAGGTGATGAGGCCGGGCAGCTTGTTCTTGGTGCTGGCAGCCGTGCCCTGAGGAAGCACGGAGCTCACAGCATACCTGCAGCCCCACCTGCAGCCCTCGCCCCCCTCCCCAGCTGCTGCCCCTGCCACTCGCCCCAGGATGCGGCCTCTCTAGCACCAGGGAGCCACCAGCTCTTCTCCCACTCGTGAGCATCTGGACCTGCCCAGGGCCCTGCAAAGGCTGCATCCGTCAGTGCTCAGAGCAGGGGTGTGGAGAACAGTGCCGGCTTCTATGGGGAGTGGTGCCGGGAGGCCACGTGGGCAGCAGGGTCCCTCCTTGTCAGCTCCCCAGGGGCTCCGTGCCCACATACCTGGAGCACCTGGTCAAACTCAGGCTTGGTCTGCTTGAGGTGCCGCAGGATGGGGAAGACGGTGAGCACTGCGGAGTAGTCGTGCCGGACGATGGCCTTCCGGGCAGCGGACACGATGTTCTCCCCCTCGAGCATCAGCCCGTCCAGCGCGTCCTGAGAGACGGGCCAGGGGACAGCTCAGGGCAGGGCAGAGCCGTGAGGGCACCTCACAGCGGGAGGGACCTGGGGATGCTGGGAGAGCCAGCGCGTGACAGCAGGGAAGGGGCCACGGGGAGGCACTGGCTGGGACATACCACCTAGGACGGGCCCCCCAAACCGAAACCAAACCCACTGCCATCAAGTCAATTTCGACTCATGGTGCTCCCTGCCCCCATGTGTTACAGAGTAGAACTGCTCCATCGGGTTTTCTTGGCTGTGATCTTTATGGAAGCAGATCACCAGGCCTTTCTTCCACAGCGCCTCTGGTTGGGTTCGAACCGCCGACCTTTAGGCTAGTAGTCGAATGCAAACTGTACAACCCAGGGACCACAGACAGACCCCTAGGACTAGGGAAAACAGGCCAGTCCCAAACTCAAGACTCGGTGGTGCTGGGTGAGCCCACTGAGAGGGTGGTGGGCGGGACCTGGATCAGGGAGTCGAAGGTCTTCTTCTGGTGGTGCTCGGGGATAATGTCAGTCAGCAGCTGATACTCGCTCTGGGCCAGCCGGACGAAGGCGCTGACGCAGTGGATGTAGGCGTCGGTCTCCACGTCCAGCATGTCGTCTCTCCCTGCGGACACAGCAGGGCCCCTGAGTCTCTTCGTGGGGGCAGTGAGACTCTCCCCAGCTCCTGACCTGAGGCCCAGACTGGCAGCAGATGGGGAGGAGGCCACAGGCCTGTGGCAGGAAGCCGAGAGGATGCCATTGGCCCGACCAGGTTCAAGGGAAACGCAGAAGCAGAGCCCAGCCTTGGTCCTGCCCTCTTGCTCTGCTCTCCCTCCCAGTCTTTCTGTCCCCAGAGCATCTTGAACCCAGAGCGGGTGGGGAGGGAGGAAAGGGTCAGGAGGGAAGACCCCTACGTCGACTTCCTGGAAGAAGCATGTCCGGCCAGCAGGGCCGAGGGGTCTGAAGCGCCCAGAGAGAGGCAGCCTGGAGGGACAGGTGGCAGGCACCAAGGTCAGCCACCGAGGAAACGCTAGGCCGCTGAAGGCAGCGACCAGCCCGGCCAGGCCTTCTGGAATGCAGAAGAGGGAGGTGGGCTATGTGCTATGAGGCTAGCTAGCTTCGGGTCAGAATCTGAGAAGCGGTAATGTGAGCCCCTTAGCAGGAGGCTCCTTGGTTGTCAGCTGCCCCAGAGGAGACCGCGTCCCGCTCTCGGAGGCTGAGACCAGCGACAGAACAGTCTGGTCCTATGCACCAAGGGGACAGCTCCCCGGGCTCACAGCTGTGGAGCCGTTCTGGAGTCAAGACGTTGGGGTGTCCTGCCCTGGAGGGAGCCGCCTCCTGACCAGCCATAGCATCTCCCCCGGGCCCAGACCCTGAGAGGGACTGCACGAGGCAAGGAGACCTGGCGCCCGAGAGAGAGAGGTGAGTAGACCCGGCCGGCCCGGGCGGAGCAGGCACTCTGGGCTGCCGCCAGGGGCACGGTGGTGGCGGTGGTGGCTGCGCTCGGGCTGGGCCGCGGTACTCACCGGCCAGTGGCCCGTGCTTGTCGTTCAGGGCCTCGGACAGGTGCTTAACGCGGAAATCATGCTCGTGACCTAGCAAGACGTCAGCCGCACAAACACAAGCAGCGGTTTATCCAGGGGCCAGACGGCTGCCCCTCGGGGGGTAGGGAAGCAGCCCTTGATCTCCAGGTGGAGGCGTGAGATGGGGTACAAGGAGAGGGGCGGAGGGGGTTCTAAGCCCCTCCGCCATGTCAAACCACTTTGGGAACAGCCGTTTCAAGCCTGACCTGCGGTGCCCAGGCCTGTCCTGGGAGCTGGCTTCCCCAAGCCTCGTGGCCAGGAGAAAGCCGAGGAGCACCTAGGTTTTGGAAGGGCTTTCGGCAGCTGTGGAGGATCTGGTGCTTGGCCCAGGGAGCCTCCCAGCCTCACTGTATTGGGCCTCTCCCCAAATACAGTTAGAGAAGCATCACTGTGGCTGAGAGGGAACTGCCTTCTGTCCCCTAGGCCATTCGTTTGAAGGAGGGTAGGCCCACCAGGGTAGTGACCTGGCTGTCCCTCCTCTGGCAGGTGGCGGGGAGGGACATGGCCTATGAGCTGCCTGGCCCCTGGCTGCACACGCTCCCCCTTCCAAAGCTGGGGGCACGGGGGGTGGCCAGGAGCCCTAAGCCAGCTTGGTCCTGCCACTGCTGGTCTGAGCGTGAAAGGGCTGGCCCAGGACAAAGAGCGTTCTCTGAGTTCAACAGGAGACAAGGACAGAGACAGGGAGGGGAGGGGTGGGAGCTCAGGAGGGCAGAGCTGCCATCAGCCAGACAGGACCAGGCCGAGGGCCACAACCCCGTCCCTGCGCCAGCCGGAGCCCAAGCGGCGTCAGGGAGCTGCGAACCCTACCCTGTCCCCCGCCCCCGCTTGGGGCTACTCGCCAGGCCTCCTGGGTGGCTGGAGGCTCCGCCCTGCCCAGTGACACATGGGGGGCAGGGGTGGGGAAGGAAGGGAACACAGGGTGATTACCTTCCAGAGGAATGAGGTTAGAGCCCCCCTTTTTCCCATCTAGACCATGCTGGGAATACTGTTTCAGAAGGTTCTGAGCCTTACGGATCGTCCCTGTCACCAGAGCCACACAGAAAGGAGATAAGAAGGACCTAGGAAACGAGCGAGAGAAAACAGCAGCGGCCGCCCACCGGCCCCAGGCCCGCCCTGGCCCCCAGCAGTGAGCATGCCCCGGTCCACCTCTTCCATCCACTGAGGAAAGGAAATGCTTGTTCTCCAAACGGAGCTTGGGTCTGCTACTGACTCTTAACACTCGGGATGTGAGTTCATTTTAGGAGTGAAGGAGGTAAGATGGGCAAAGCTCCGCCAAGAAAAGTCAAAAATAAATACTCCCGAGTGGCATTTTAACCAGAATACCGAGGTGCCTGGGATGGAGCGGGTGGCGAAGCTTTCAGGCCCAGCGGGGGCACCAGGAGCCGGCAGTGGCAGCCCCAGTCTCCAGGCCGGGCTCCTGGAGCATGCTCAGTGTCGGGACGGAGCCAAACCCCAGTCAGAGGGAAGCTGAACCTGACAGTGGTGAGAGGGCCCAGGGTCCGGAAGGAGCGGCGCCCAAGACAAGCAGCCAGGCCCCGCCCACCGCAGGAGCTGCCCAAACCCTCAGAGCCGAGGGACAAGAAGGCAAAAGTCAAGAAGGGGTTACCAGAAGCCACCACACGGAGTGCAAAGGGAGGGCCACAGGGGAGGGGACACGCTCTCGGCACGGGGGAGAAAAACAACAGTTAGTATCACGAGTGAAAACAATAAAAACAAAACCGCAGCACCCACAGCCTCCGGGGTCAGCCCAACTCTGGGGAATGAGGCAGCTCTGGGCAGACAGTGGGTGGGGAGGAGATAAAATGACATTTCAAATAGACAAATACAGCTGCCTTGTTAACACAGTTTGTGCCGGGGACAGGAGGGACACGTGCATGCGACTCTAGTCCATCTTCCCTGGAGACTGCACAGTGAGGCTGCTGTGTGCCGGATGGCTCCCAGGGGCTTGGGAGGAGGGATGCGGTCTGGGGCGGCTTGGCTCCTTCTGTTTGTACCTCGCCACAATTAGCTTCTAATAACCCAGTTCTACGGTGGTGGCTGCTCGGCATCTGGGTCCCCTGTGTTCTCCGCACCAAGCAGTCTTACTAATGAGCAGATCAGACTCTTGCCTCACACTCGACTGGGGAGCAGACGGACCGTCGGCCCAGCAGCAGCAGCCTAACTAGCACATGGCCATGGACATGGTTCGGGGACGCTGATACGTCAGCTGCCAGAGCCATCAGGTGCTCAATTATCAGAGACGATGCTGAGGGTGGCATTTCGTAGTGACCAGGGCTCCCTGCTCCTGTCCCCAGATTCCAGAACTAACATCCACGAGGCCTGACTCCCCAGTCCCTGACATCAGTCCTGAGCCCACTGGCTCCTGAAAACTCTTACAACCCCCAGGATTCTCACAGCCTTGGTTTCCTCATGTCTAGAAGCTCAGGGTGGATGAGGTTCACTGGGAGACCCGAGATCAGGTCCCACCTCCCCAAAAGGCCTCAACCCTGCATGGCCCACGCACACACCTTGGGCAGCACCAATCGGGCCTTGGAGCCTCCAGTGGGCCTGCCCAAGAACGACATAGAAAAGGAGGCACCCCCACCCCCACTGAGGCTCAGGCCCCCCGCAGCCTCACAGAGACAGCCCCTCAATGCACAGGATGGAACCGTCTGCCACACGGGCAGCTGTGGCCCAGCAGGCTGGGTCAGTAGATCCCTTGTTTGTGACAGGTCTGCTGGGGCCACCAGGCCCAGTTCCCCGAATCCTCTGCCTGCCCAGCTTCCTCTCTGCCGTTTCTGACTTAACGCCAGCAAAGGCTGTGGGGGAGCAGGTGCTCCTGCTGAGTGTGAGCAGACACCTTGCTTTCTGAGGGACGCGGGCAGGCAGAAGTGGAGGGAGTGAGCTCTATACCAAGCCCGTGCTCAGGAGTGGTGGGTCCCACGGTCCCATGGCCAGGTCTGGGCCACTTGCCTGCTGAGGAGCCGGGTGGGGTTCGGCTAAGGTGGGTCGGACTAGCAGGCCTCGGCCTTACTGCCCTTACTGCCTGCAGCGGCCCCTCCCCTGGCAAAGCCCAGCCCCTCCCTGAGCTGAGCGAGGCACCTCTCTGCAGCCAGCCAGCCCCACTGTCACCGCACCTCAGGAGAGATAACTGAGCACATCTCTGTGACCCTCAAAGCCATCTGTGTAACCTCCAGCTCTGCAGGGTGGAGGGGAGGGGCCCTCGCTCTCTGGGGTCTTGCTAGGTGGATAGACACTGGCTTTCTGCCCCGGATACTGACAGTCGGGGATTATCGTGAAGACAAGCACCAGAGGGCCTGACGCTGCTAACCGCAGGACAGACAGCGCCACCAGTCCCAGCCAGCCTTCTGCCCATCCTTAGATGGGGGGGTCTCACCTGGCCGCTTGGCCGGCTTCTTGGTGGGTGTGTCCTTCCTCTTGTTGGGGATAGCAGGGGAGTAGGGAACCCCAGAGGAAGAACTACTCTTCCGGAAGTGTTCCTTCAGGCCCTTGATGGAGCGGTCCAGCTGGCTGGAGCGAATCTGGTAGTAGACGTTCATGAAATCTGAGGAGAGAGCAACAGAGAGTGGCAGCCGGGTCCCTGCCTCTGCCTTCTCCCATGCTGTCTCTCTTCCCCACTAGATGCAGCTCCAGGGGTGGCAGCCAAACCCACCATTACTATATGTGAGACCCTTCCCAGCACCTGTAACAGGTCTCAGCCACCCGCGTGGCCTCATCCCCAAACAGGCAAAATCTTCAAAAAGAAAACACCCTCAACCGAACTAACAATTAGTTATAACTTTGGAACCACAAGTTTTTTTAAATAAAAAATATGGAGTTAACCTTTAGACTGAACTTGGTAAGGGGTCAAAGGGTGTGAGCAATTTACACGAGGCAAAAAGACGGCAAACATCAGTGAGTGAGACAACACATGCCATTACCATTTATGAAGTGCAAATTAAAAACTTGGAGGACCAGGACACCCGTTGTTGTTGTTGGGTGCTGTCAATTTCAACTCAGAGTGGCCCCAAGTGACAGAGGAGAACTGCCTCATAGGGTTTCCTAGGCTGTAAACTTGACAGGAACAGATCACCAGGTCTTTCTCCCCCCGAGCTGCTAGTGAGGTTCGAACTGCCAACCTTTGGTTAGCAGTCAAGTGCTTAACCACTGTCCCACCAGGGCCCCTTATGGTGGCCCGATCAAGAAGCAAAGACAACCACGACTAACAAGGGCAATGGCAGCGGGACTGCTGGTGAGTCTGTCAACGGCCCCCACTGTCTGCAGAGGGACTTGTGAGGGGAAGGAGGTTACAGATCTGTTCAGATACTTACATGTGATCATTGCGCCTTTAAGGATATACCCCAAAGAAGTCCCTAAATAAAAAAGCAACTCATGGGAACCCAGGGTTGAGAAGGGAAGAGCGTTGACACGCCGTGGGTTGGCAACCAATGTCACAAAACAATATGTGTATTAACTTTTTAATGAGCCATGAATTTGCCCTGCAAAACTTCATCTAACATACAATAAAAAATAAGAAAGGAACTCGTATAAGTACAATCAATGCAGCATTATTAATCAGTCCTTGACAACTGGACAATCCCAAGACATACACAAGCAAGGAAAGTGCTCCAGAAACCATGGTGTTACGGACTGAAGCCACATCCACCAAAACGTGCTGTAAATCCTAACCCCTGTAGTGGTTATAATCCCGTCTTGGAATGGGGTTTGTTATGTTAACGACACAGTATCAGTGCAGGGTATGTTAAATCAATCTCGTTTGAGATATAAGAGATTAAACAAACAAGCAGGCAGAGATGGGGGAAGATGGATGCCACACCACATGAAGATCACCAAGGAACCAAGGAACAACGACCTTCCGCCAGAGCTGACTGAGAGAAGAAGCCCTCCCCTACAGCAGACACCCTGAACTCAAAAGACTTCTAGCCTCCTAAACTGTGAGAGAATAAATTTCTGTTTGTTAGAGGTACCTACTTGCGGTATTTCTGTTACAGCAGCACTAGATAATGAAGACACGTGGTCTATTTCAGCAGTTCCCAGCAAATATCTTACAAAGAACCCCAATTTAAAAATAGACAAAAGCTGAATGACTCTGGTTGAAGGACACAGAGGGCTCTGGAGCCTGTTCACTTGACCTCACTTGGGATCCCAAGGGAGCCCTTGAATAACTTCTGCCAAGCCCTGGGCTCTCCCAGCACAGCTCATGGGCCGAAGGCGTATTTGCTTAGTAAGATATTGTGGCTGTGACAGCTGCCACCATACTGTCCTCACAGGAAGTGGGGACAGATGGGGACAGATAGAGACGAGATCACGCACTCATCAGCATGGTCTGTGTACTCATCAACAAAGAGAAGATGATACTGGACGGCTAAAAAGCATAAAACTGAATATTCACTGGAGTTTTTACTTTCTAAAAATTTTGCTTAACTCAAAATGCTTGTTTTTTTAATGCCTAGAACTGGTTACAGAAAAGACGGTACCACTCTACCAAAAATAACGCAGTCGTTCAAAAGGACAAGGCAAACCTACACATACTGATATGAAACAAGCTCGAGATAGATCACCCAGTGGAGGAAAAACTTGTAGGACAGTTTAGCATGATCCCATTTCGGAGTAAGGTGAGGATACACAGGTGTTAATCTCTCTCTCTCGCGCACACCAAAACCACACAAACCTGTTGCTGTCGATTCCAACTCATGGCGGCCCCATATGACAGAGTAGAACTGCTCCATAGGGTTTTCTTGGCTGTAATCTTTATGGAAGTAGGTCACCAGGTCTTTCTTCCACAGTGCCAC